GGAAATTAACAACATGCATCTCACCGCTACGATGGTGGACTACGCCATCCGTGAGTACACCGCCCTGAAAGAGGCATTTGTATCGTGCAAAGTTTTTTTCAATTCCACCGTTCCAGACAGCGAGGATGAAGAGACAGAAGAAGATGAAAGTTGAGGAAGAGGGGGAAATAGGCGTCTGTCGTCTGTGTGGCGTCTGCCTTTGTTTTGGCCATGCAATGAGTACGAGTGCAAGACGGTAACGCACGGCGGTCTACGCGTCTCTTTTCTATATTTATCTATTTATCTCCATGTGTGTGTGTGAGTATCTCTCTCACATTCCCTGCTGTTGTTATTGATCTCTCTCTCTCTCTCTCTGCGGCTGCTTGAAAAGGGCGGGTCTGAGAGAGAGAGAGGGAGGGAGAAACTGAGGTTGCGTGGGGTGAGGAAAAAGCAAACAAAAAAAAGAGAAACCAAGCGACAGAATGTTGTCACGCAGCACATGCATCCGCGCAATGACCCCGCGCGTCGCGCTCACGACATTGGGTCTGACATCCGTCTCCCTATCGGATATTTCCCAGTCCCGAGTGAAGAAAGCGTATATTGCGCAGACGCTGCGTTGTCACCCCGACCTGCATCCCGATGACCCCGACGCAACGGAGAAATTCCGGCGTCTCTCAGAGGCCTTCCGTGTGGCGTTGAAGTCACTTGAAATGAAAATGCACGCAGGGGGCACCGTGAAGAATGTCTCTATGGATGACTCTCAAAGTGTGCTGGATGCGCTGCGTCGCGCCATCGTGACGTACCACAACTGCAGAGACGCTACACGCAGTGGCGGAGGGGGGGAAGAGGAGGAGGGGGGGGCACATCATGCAGAGGAGCGACTGGGCGCATTTTATTCGCACTCATTGGAATATGTGTCGTCGGTTTGCCAAACGGAGGCGCTTGCCATGCAGCGTGTGAAGCTGTTCTGCGACGAGCTTCCAGAGGTGCTCTGTGGAAAATCGTGTGCCCTCTTTGAGGCGGTGGCATTCTTCAACGCCCGCTACGTTGAGGCAATGGCTCGCTGTGTCCTGCGGTTTTCAAAGAATCTCCCTATCATCGTCAATCGCGTGGTGAAGGGGCGAAAGAGGTATGTGCGTTACACGTACAACAAGGCGAACTCCGGGGTTGGGACAGGCAGTCGACCCCACCAACAGCGCATTGAGGAAATGGCTATGAAACCGCTTGTTCTTGTGGGGGCACTCCTGTTTAGTCTGAAACCGACTTTAACCGTGGACGCTTGTGCGTCGCGGTGTCACGAGGATAGCCAGACGCCACCGGATTCCCAGGAGGAGGTTAAAAGCACATGTGGTGCCGTCTCAGAAAGGGAAATAAAGATCTGTGAGGAATTGAAGTGCACCATATACCCCTCAGACTCAATTGGGGAAATCACAAAGAAACTTGGAAGGTGGGAGGCAGCGAGTTACGAGAGGTTGCAGCTAGAACTGGCGATGGTGGACACCACCGCTTTGCTTTCAAATATGTTGGATCTTCATGAACACCCACTGACGGTCATGCACCACCTGCATCTCCCAAGGGAAGTCTCTGAAAAGGTCTCTCTCACTCTTCAAAAACTTGTTTGTGGGTTCTGCTACCATTGCGATGAACCCACAGACGATGAAGCTGCATCTGGGGAAGGGGGAAGACAAGTTAGTGAGAAACGTATTGCGGATGGAATCCGTCGTTGCCGACATTTGGCTGGTGTGACGGCGCCTTACATTGAAGGAAATATCGCTCTGACTTGGAACAGCAAGACCCCGTTGGTCGAGAGCGCTGAGGAAGTAGCTGTTGGGGGCGAAGATGGCGCCCGCTGGAAGTGTAGGGAAAAAGATGAAGTAAATCACGACATTGTGGTTGCCCGTCACATGTCATGTTGCACGGCCGAAATAATACGCTTCTCCGTCGCCGTCAAGTTATCTAAGGACATTGGGGAATTTCTGACCCGATTGATAGCTGCCATGGAAAGCGTACAAGAAGAGGCCGAATCCGCCAATTCGTTGCTGCCACTGCTGCTTGAGGTGAGAAAAAAGGTGATGAATGAAGAATTTATCCCACAGGAAATGAAACCGTGCTGTGAGGAGGAAATACCTTGCTTAAAGACAAGAGGAAAGAAGGAAGAAGAAACATCAACTGGAATGCGCAATGCACCAGGAGAAGAAACGAAACGTTACGACGCAACCAAGGAGGGGATGAAGCTACACATCTTTGCTGATCCTGTCAAGAACGCGCTGCGCGAGGATAATAAAGAGGAGGAAACCACAGGCACCATTAGATATTGTTATCGAGGGCCAATCCGTTGTTTCCCGCGCATTTTCTCTATGAGCACTGCGAAGGAGTTAAACTATTGGCAGATGTTGCATGAGAACCGCGTCTATTTGGCGCAGCACGCTCCCGCCATGAATCCCATTAATGTGTATTATAACTCTATGCCGCATAATTCACGACAGCACGCCATGCATGCCGAGGAAGATTCTTTCAAAGAGGAGTTAATTGGAGGGTGGATTGGCGAAGCTGAGGATGGGGCAGATGACGCCGTGATCACAGATAAGGAGTTGGAAAGCAGCCCCGTATTCCGGGAATGGTTACAGGACGTTGTGGAGCAATCTTCGCTTAGCAGGGAATGCCATCGAATTGCGAGTGAGGCCGGAGTTGGTTATGTTATGAGGGATCCTGCGCTCCCGCTCCCGCAATATCTGTCATTTGTAAAGATATTCTGCGCAGCTGCCGGGGTGCGTGGAATTCTTGAAAGCAAAGCATCCAGGACACGCACCGCCACCGCAGCAGATACAGGTCTCACCATCGTTGTCGGGACGGAGTGTGATGTGCGAGATGGTGGTCGCTTGCTCGTGCCTTGGTGGATTGACCCATCGATTCTCTTGGCGTTGCTGCAAGACGACGCCCACGGTGGTGGGACCAGGCAGATTGAGGATGGTGCAGAACGGATTTCTGCCACAAGTTCGATTTAAGACACAAAATAATGATACGAAAAAGAAATATTTTCTTTCCCCGAAACAAAAGAAAACCCACTCGGACCGCCGGTCAATGAGAGGCCCTCCGGCCATTCAGATTAGGGTACTTTTTTTGCTGCTGCTACTGGTGTCGCTGCTGCCGCGCCACCCTCCTGAAGTTCAGGGATTTTGCCTCTTTTTCCCACCCACGAGCCTTGAAATAAAAGATAAAATTGGCGCGTAGAGGGACGCAGCCCCCGCCCCGCCGCGTTGGGCGGATGGAGCGGAACACTGCGCGCGGCCGCCGCGAAACAGGAACCCGGCAGGGGACCTCGACCCCGAAGGGCGACGAAGGTGGAGAAAGTGCGATTTAGGATTTGGGATTCTTGAGACACGTTGTGCCGAAAACGAGGGCGCGAAACAAACCAAATCAAAAAAAAACAAACTATTAAAGCAGCAAACTAAAAAGCACTACCACCTTCAGCAGGCAAGCGCCGCCGCCCACATCGTCGCAGGCTGTGGGCAAATCAGTGGACGCAGCCGAGCAGGCCGCAAAGGAACCGGGCCAGTGGCCGACCAAAGTAAAGCTCGGGCACCCCCATCTCTCCAAGCAGAAGTTCGCTCGCCGGGCCGCAAGGGACGCACAGCAGCAGAAAATGCGCCCCGGTGCCTCCTCACCCACGCCGCATCCAAACCGCGGTGTCTCTCTCCACCATGCACTCTCCTTGTAAAATCCGCCGGCATCGATGTCTGGCGTTCGCTCAGCGACACCGATAGAGAAGCGGTGCGGACGTCGCGCCCCTCGCCAAGGAACCCTTTAAAAAGGTTCCTACGAGCCTCCCTCCGGCTCAACACAA